ATGTATAGGAATATGCCGTCTAGTTCTTATTTTTAGCACTGCTCAGTTTTTGCTTGTCCTGTTCCCAATGAGTTCAAGTACACATTGCCTGGTCCAGGGATTGAACTTACAATTACTATGTCACCAAATTTCTGGACTAACTCTTTACTCCACTAGATTATTGTCCCGTAGGTTAACCGGATCTATGTAAATCTGGTGAAGTGCGAAGTGGAAGAGGAGGATTTATAATAACAACAATGACGAGGACAACAGTTTGATTGTATATAGTGTAAATAATGATAAAACCTCATCCCGGAAGTTTAGACAGCGATTATATCAGTTATTGTTGAGTTATTTAATATCGAATTTGCATTGGGCACCATTTTCTTAAATCAATTTCACCCCATGCAAGACACTAAATCCACTAAGACACAAGGGGCTACTGGGCGTGGTCTGTGGCACCTTCTGTTTACCTCGGATTTCTTGACAAGATCCAGAGACGGATATGTAATATAATTAGCCCTGATCTGGCGTCTAGTCTACAGTCACTCTCTCACAGACGCGCCGTCGCCTCTCTCTGTCTTTTCTACAAATACTTTCATGGTAATTGCCCCGATGAGCTGCTTTCACTGGTTCCCAGACTCCATGAATTCAAGCGCCCTACGAGGCTGACATCCCGCTCCCACCCTTACACTGTAGAAACTTTTAAATGTAGCCATCTCTTCTATTCCAATAGCTTCATACCTCAAACCTCTCGCCTGTGGAACACCCTTCCCAATTACTGTTTCCCTGAGAGCTATAATCTCCAACTATTCAAATGTAATGTCAATCGACATCTCCAGTTACCTTGATCTATCCACTATCCCTCTCCTCATTCTTTCTTCTATCACTCCTATCTGCTCTCGCTCCAAATCTTCTGCAACCCCCTGCATCCTAGTGGCTTCACGTCTTGCTCGGGGCGTAATGTTTAAAAAAAAAAATTAGAAACAGAGTCATTACTAATGAGAGGGAACAAAAACGAATAATCTGGAGAACAGTAGATAGCGATTGACATTGCATTTTATTTTTTGAATATTAAAGTTGCCTGGAAAGTATGGAGCGGGAAGGAATTTCCACAAGGGATATGTGCGAGAAACGAAACTGCTCAGTTGTAAATTGACGATATCTCGACGCTAGTCGAGTACTCCGATTAAGTTCATAAAGTCTTGGTACTCAACTGAACAATTACTATGAAAATATTTATAGTAAAAAAAGATAGGGAGGCAACCTTACAGCGATGGGAAAGTGACTGAAGCTGAGTCGCCATTTCTTTGTTGATTCTTCTTTGGATTTTATCAAGGAGCTCAAGGTAAATAATACCCATGAGGATCGAACACTGGCCTAAAAATCAATTTGACCTATTACCGAATGATTTCCCAAAGTAGTTGATTAAAAAGCTATAATTATTTAATTTTGTGTGTGTATTGGAGGGTGGATATGAATGGGTTTTCACTGAAAAATTAGTCTTTGCAGATTTCCTCTAATTCCATTGATATTGGGAAATCGTTCTTATAGAAGTTACATCTAATTTAATTTTATATTCGCCGATCGGAACAAGAACTTTCACAAGTCGCGATGAACGGATGTTGTTCGGGGAGGCCTCGTGACTTGAGCCTCAATTGGGACTTTAACTCAACCCAGACCTCAACTAAAAGATGCTGGGGAAGATGATCGGTTCCCTTTACCGCTTCAGAATGTACCTGAATCCTCCTGCTACCCTCTACCTTGACAAAAACTAGATCAGACCGAAAATTGAGTTCTGCTATCATGCATGGACAGGAGTTGCCAAATCTCCCCTTTCCAGTCGCTTTTCTGCGGGTGAAGATTTATTTTCCACCGTACAACCCTTTTCTCTCAGACTAGAAGTTGCAAGCCACTCGCAGCTCTATAGCTATTAACATGGCGAGTGTTTAGATGAACAACATTCTTTAGTTCCAGCGGTCCTAACTTTCGCGGCTAAGAACCGTCATGGCGCACACACTGTAGTGAACCACGGTTATTCCCTTTGTATTCTCCTGGTGAGATGTATTTTTCTCTCAAGTAGATTCTTCCTATGTACCACTGCCTTCTGTAACCGTTTCCGAAATTATTACTGAATTAACATGTTCAAATATGTTAACCGTTATCTTCAGCACATATCCGCAAAAGTTGTGCCTTTTACTCTGCACCCTCTATCCTAGGTGGCCATCAGGCCTTGTAGAGGGTGAACATCATTGTAAAAAAATTAATATATTGTCAATTGCGTTATGGCCTTCTCTTTGCCGTAAACTTGTAAGTACCAATAAACATACAGAAACAGACTGCTATCAAGTGTTAGGCATGAAAAGACTGCTGTCAAAAGATCGGCATGAACGGACAGTTATCAATAGGTAGGCATGAACAGACTGCTGTCAGAAGATAGGCATGAACGAACAGTTATAAATAAGTAGGTATGAACAGATTGCTATCAAGAGATAGGCATGAACGGACAGATATCAATAGGTAGGCATGAACAGACTGCTATCATGCAAAAGAAAACATAAAGAATCACCACATATGCTAGGCCACAAAAATCTCCTGAGCCGACCAAGCACAGAAATGAATACAATATAGGAAACAGTAATAAGGAGTGCCATAGAAAAGCGATAATAACAACAAAAATTGCAATATGAGCTGTAGTAAAAACATGAAATAATAACGGCAAAAATTGCAATATGAGCACTGGTAAAAAATGATTGCTGAAGATATTAAGTTTATAATACTATGAAATTCAAATACACAGGTGTGCCAAGGACACATGACCCAGTGGATAAAGACGTTGATTAGATCCAGTGACTAGACCCAAAACTTGGAAAATTTAGTTAAAGGGAAATAACTGAGACATCCGGAAGAGATATGGCACGTAGAACTTGAACAATCTACCATAGTGGACGAAATAAAGGGTTCGATTCGAAATTCCAATCACCCGAAGAACTTCGGAGCGTACAACGTTCTGAATATGGCCGAAGCGTTGTGAATATGGCAATGAAGATGAGGATAACAGTTCAAATATTGTAAGAAAGAATTAAGAAGCCAAAGGATAATGATTGATATTGCATTTAAATGTTTAACAATCTCAGTTGATTGTGAAATAAGAATCCGAAAGAGAGTTCTACAAGCGAAAGAAGATACCGTTAGCATATAACTAGCGATTTCATCATCTAGCCATTTCAGATGAAAATGATGAGACCTTGCAGCCAATCCATTACTGTACTTAAATTCATGGAATCTAGGTACAGTAGAAGAAAATTCATCAGACCAATTACCATGGTATTATTTATAGAAAAGTCACAGGGAAGCTACATTTTAGCCGTTGGAAAATGACTGAAGCCGAAATGTCAGGGCCAATAACATTGCAGAATCTTTGTATTTTATAAGAAAATCTCTAAATAGATAGTAGTAGAACCAGACCAGCTTTGGTCGCAAAATTCAATGCATAGGTGAATGGTAGACTTATAAATCTGTGTGATGTATTATGGCGATAAATTGTCTAAACACCATAGAGAAAATATCAGATAGGAAGGTTTACTTTCTAATCTTTTTTATTCCAAATCTTATAATAAATATATTCAAGGAAATGATTCTTTTTCTCATGATTTCTCATTGAAATAGACTGATAGATAGCAGAAAACACTTTCTTGTCGTGAGTATGGCATCGAGTGTGAAGAGAAATTGTAAAATTATTCACCAACCTCAGTAACCAAGAAAGAGCAAGCCAAACTTCTATATGATTAGAGTATCTTTACTGACAAGCGGTTAGAGATATATCATCCTTACATCTCATCTGCACAAGAGAAGCCATGAATTGGTTCTGATAGATGTTACGATAAATTTGGATACGAATATTATGATGTCTGAGTAAGGGAAAAATACAAAGTTTGTTAAGAACTGGCGGGACAAATAGGTAACATGCACTAAGCAGTAAGTCGAATTTTGTGGTTGGTACACTCATGATTCTTTCCAGGAATCGTTCTGCTCCGTAAGAATCCTCAGTGGTACCTGACATCATTGGGAGTGCGCAGGTGGCAGAGCTACTTGGAACAGCTCATGTGCTGAGGAAAGTGTTGTGTTTCTAACACGCTGGTAGATGAGGTACGTCCATCGTCAGCCGTCCGAAACTTCTAAGCATAGGAGAAGACATTAAATAATAATAATATGGATGAAATATTTTATACATTCGTTATGCAGTACTGTCATAGAGAGGACGGTTTGATGTAAGCAGAACTACAAAAAAATGGATTGGATCTGATTTCAGTTTCTATCAAGAATAGAAAAGAAAACACAAATAACAAAAAAAAAAATGCAAAATAAACACACGTAAAACATAAAACATTTCTGACTCATCAAACATGTCAAAATCCTGAAATATGCACGTCGACAATCTGAGTTTTCTTTTCTGGAAAGAGCGGATTGAGATTATTTGACAAAAAATGACATATTTGCTGTGTTTTGAATTATTTATACGTATCGCTTTCTATTTTATTTCCTTATTATCTTCTTGATCTGGAAGCAGTTGGCAAGAGAGAAAAAAGGTAAGCGAAGTACTTTGCAAGCATACAGGTAATTCTTGGGAAAAAAGTCACACGTATTGTTGACCTTTTGTTTTGTTTTAAATATATATTTGTTTTTCTCTCTTATTTGTAAGTATATTGATAATTCTTTTGTTTTTAATGCATTTTGTTTCGAGGAATTGACGACAACAATGTTTGTCGGCGCTTGACATGAAGAGTCGCCATGGATTCGCAAAAGATCATTGCCAATACGTTGGTGAATAGCGAAAACCAAAGAAGAAAAAAGAAAACAGTGTGTGGACGTAGAAGACAGACATGATAAGGAATAGAAGAAAAACAGGAGGAGGTGGCAGAATAAAATACAAATGAGAACAGAGAAAAAGAAAAAGAATACAATTAAGAAATGACATGAAATGAAAAAAATATGAGTTGGGGAATATCTCGAAAAGAAATTTAAAAAAAAAACAGGACAACTAATGAGAAAACACCACACAGAGAGAGAGAGAGAGAGAGAGACAGAGACAGAGACAGAGACGGACAGGGAAAGAGAGAGATATACAGAAAGACAGAGAGATCGGATGGGGGAGAGATATACAGAAAAACAGAGAGATATTTATGGAGAGGGATAGACAGAAAGAAATAAGGAGAGATAGGATGGGAGAGTAATAGACAGAAAGATAGAGTTCTCGAGAAGGAGAGAGAGAGACAGAAAGACAGAGAAATAGGGATGGAGAAAAATAGACAGACAGAAAAGCAGAGAAATAAGGAAGGAAAGAGATACACACAAAGACAGTGAGTTGGGAAGGGAAAGAAAGCAATAGACAGACAGAAAGACAAAGAGATAGAGAAGGAGAGAGACAGAGAGAAAGGATGGGCGAGAGATAGACAGACAAAAAGACAGAGAGATAGTGTGGGAGAGAGATAGAAAAATAGAGAGATTAGGAAAGAGAGAGACAGATAGACAGAAAGGAAAAGAGATAGGATGAGAGAGAAATAGACAGAAAGACAGAGGGATAGGAATAGAGGTAGATAGACAGAAAGGCAGAGAGATAGGATGGGAGAGAAATAAACAAAAAGACAGAGGGATAGGAATAGAGGTAGATAGACAGAAAGGCAGAGAGATAGGATGGGAGAGAAATAAACAAAAGACAGAGGGATAGGAATAGAGGTAGATAGACAGAAAGGCAGAGAGATAGGATGGGAGAGAAAGAGACAAAAAGACAGAGGGATAGGAAAAGAGAGGTAGATAGACAGAAAGGCAGAGAGATAGGATGGGAGAGAAATAGACAAAAAGACAGAGGGATAGGAATAGAGGTAGATAGACAGAAAGGCAGAGAGATAGGATGGGAGAGAAATAGACAAAAAGACAGAGGGATAGGAATAGAGGTAGATAGACAGAAAGGCAGAGAGATAGGATGGGAGAGAAATAGACAAAAAGACAGAGAGAGAGGAATAGAGGTAGATAGACAGAAAGGCAGAGAGATAGATAGGATGGGAGAGAAATAGACAAAAGACAGAGAGAGAAATAGAAAAGACAGAGGTAGATAGACAGAAAGGCAGAGAGATAGGATGGGAGAGAAATAGACAAAAAGACAGAGAGAGAGGAATAGAGGTAGATAGACAGAAAGGCAGAGAGATAGGATGGGAGAGAAATAGACAAAAAGACAGAGGGATAGGAATAGAGGTAGATAGACAGAAAGGCAGAGAGATAGGATGGGAGAGAAATAGACAAAAAGACAGAGGGATAGGAATAGAGGTAGATAGACAGAAAGGCAGAGAGATAGATGGGAGAAAGGACAGAGAGAGGAATAGGGTAGATAGACAGAAAGGCAGAGAAATGGGAGAGAAATAGACAAAAAAGACAGAGGGATAGGAATAGAGGTAGATAGATAGACAGAAAGGCAGAGAGATAGTATGGGGAGAGAAATAGACAAAAAACACAGAGAGGAGGAATGAACAGAGGTAGATAGACAGAAAGGCAGAGAGATAGGATGGGAGAGAAATAGACAAAAGACAGAGAGAGGATGAATAGAGGTAGATAGACAGAAAGGCAGAGAGATAGGATGGGAGAAATAAACAAAAAGACAGACAAAAGACAGAGAGAGAGGAATAGAGGTAGATAGACAGAAAGGCAGAGAGATAGGATGGGAGAGAAATAGACAAAAAGACAGAGGGATAGGAATAGAGGTAGATAGACAGAAAGGCAGAGAGATAGGATGGGAGAATAGATAAAAAAGACAGAGAGAGAGATAAATAGAGGTAGATAGACAGAAAGGCAGAGAGATAGGATGGGAGATAAATAAACAAAAAGACAGAGGGATAAAATAGAGGTAGATAGACAGAAAGGCAGAAAGATAGGGATGGGAGAGAAATAGACAAAAGACAGAGGGATAGGAATAGAGGTAGATAGACAGAAAGGCAGAGAGATAGGATGGGAGAGAAATAGACAAAAAGACAGAGGGATAGGAATAGAGGTAGATAGACAGAAAGGCAGAGAGATAGGGGATAGGAATAGAGGAATAGACAGAAAGACAGAGATAGGAGGGATAGGAATAGGGATAGGAATAGAGGTAGATAGACAGAAAGGCAGAGAGATAGGATGGGAGAGAAATAGACAAAAGACAGAGGGATAGGAATAGAGGTAGATAGACAGAAAGGCAGAGAGATAGGATGGGAGAGAAATAGACAAAAGACAGAGGGATAGGAATAGAGGTAGATAGACAGAAAGGCAGAGAGATAGGATGGGAGAGAAATAGACAAAAGACAGAGGGATAGGAATAGAGAGGTAGATAGACAGAAAGGCAGAGAGATAGGATGGGAGAGAAATAGACAAAAGACAGAGGGATAGGAATAGAGGTAGATAGACAGAAAGGCAGAGAGATAGGATGGGAGAGAAATAGACAAAAGACAGAGGGATAGGAATAGAGGTAGATAGACAGAAAGGCAGAGAGATAGGATGGGAGAGAAATAGACAAAAGACAGAGGGATAGGAATAGAGGTAGATAGACAGAAAGGCAGAGAGATAGGATGGGAGAGAAATAGACAAAAAAGACAGAGGATAGGAATAGAGGTAGATAGACAGAAAGGCAGAGAGATAGGATGGGAGAGAGAAATAGACAAAAGACAGAGGATAGGAATAGAGGTAGATAGACAGAAAGGCAGAGAGATAGGATGGGAGAGAAATAGACAAAAAGACAGAGGGATAGGAATAGAGATAGTAAATAGACAGAAAGAAATGGGACAAAAAGAGAGGGATAGGAATGGGAGATAGACAGAAAGGCAGAGAGATAGGAGGGAGAGAAATAGACAAAAAGGAGGGATAGGAATAGAGGTAGATAGACAGAAAGGCAGAGAGATAGGATGGGAGAGAAATAGACAAAAAGACAGAGGGATAGGAATAGAGGTAGATAGACAGAAAGGCAGAGAGATAGGATGGGAGAGAAATAGACAAAAAGACAGAGGGATAGGAATAGAGGTAGATAGACAGAAAGGCAGAGAGATAGGATGGGAGAGAAATAGACAAAAGACAGAGGGATAGGAATAGAGGTAGATAGACAGAAAGGCAGAGAGATAGGATGGGAGAAATAGACAAAAGACAGAGGGATAGGAATAGAGGTAGATAGACAGAAAGGCAGAGAGATAGGATGGGAGAGAAATAGACAAAAAGACAGAGAGAGAGGAATAGAGGTAGATAGACAGAAAGGCAGAGAGATAGGATGGGAGAGAAATAGACAAAAAGACAGAGAGAGAGGAATAGAGGTAGATAGACAGAAAGGCAGAGAGATAGGATGGGAGAGAAATAGACAAAAAGACAGAGAGAGAGGAATAGAGGTAGATAGACAGAAAGGCAGAGAGATAGGGAAGGCATGATAGATATACAGAAAGACTGTGATTTGGGAAGGATAGACAGACAGACAGACAGACAGACAGACAGGGAAAGAGAGAGAGATGTATAGAAAGACAGAGAGATCGAATGGGAGAGAGATAGACAGAAAGAAATAAGGAGAGATAGGAAGGGAGTGAAATAGACAGAAAGATAGAGTTCTCGGGAAGGAGAGAGAGAGACAGAAAGGTAGGGAGAGAGGGATGGAGAGAGATATACAAACAGAAAGACAGAGAGATAGGGATGGAGAAAGATAGACAGAGAGAAAAGGAAAAAAAATAGGGAAGGAAAGAGATACACAGAAAGACAGTGAGTTGGGAAGGGAAAGAGAGCGATAGACAGACAGAAAGACAGAGAGATAGTGTGGGAGAGAGATAGAGGGACAGAGAGAAATGGTGGGAGAGAGATAGACAGAAAGACAGAGAGATGGATGGGAGAGAGATAGACAGAAAGAAAGACAAGGAGATAAGGAAAGAGAGAGAGAGAGAGATAGACAGAAAGAAAAAGAGGTAGGACGGGAGAGAAATAGACAAAAAGACAGAGAGATAGGGATAGAGAAAGATAGACAGAAAGGTAGAGAGATAGGTTGGGAGAGAAATAGAAAGGCAGATCGATAGGAGAGAGAGAGAGAGAGAGAGAGAGAGAGAGAGACGCGAAAACTGATAGGATGGGAGAGAGATACACAGAGAGAAAAACAGAGAGATAGGGAAGGTGAGAGAAATTAGAGGAATAAGAATCGAGTAACTTAGAAAATACTAAATAGGAAAAGGAATCATTAGAAAGAGTGGTAAATGACGAAAACAGTTTATATGAGGAAAAACGATGAAGATATTAGATGAAGAATAAGACAGGAAATATATTGTCGAAGAAGATGATATCGAAGAAGGAAAGCAGGAAGACATTAAATTAAAACTAGCCTAACACTGAAAATTGTGTAGAATCGGTTAGAGAAAGAAGACGACAGAAGGGAGGTAGATTAAAATTTGTAGGAAATCGAGAGACCAAGAAGATAGATAAAAAGAGGATGACATGAAAATTAGAGATTTCAGAAGGAAGAAAATAAAGAGACTTTAAAGATGGTAATGGAAAGAGCAAAACTGTTGCTGGAGGAGGGTAAAGAAGAAGAAAAAAATTCTGGTGGAGGAGCAATATGGACGAGAATGATAAATAGACTAAACAGAAGCAAAGGAAAAGGAGAACAGAGAAGAAGAATTTATTTGGAAATGTAAAATTGCGGAAGAGAAGGAAGGAAATAAAGCGAAGTATAGCAGCTGTGGGGGGAAGAAAAATTGCAATAGTCAGATATCAGAAGAGAAGAAGGATTAGACGAAATAAATAAGAAGAAGTAGGAGGAGAGAAAAAAAATATTTGGTAGGTTTGAAATAGGGAAAAGAAGAGAAAGGAGAATAAATGGAAACCTACGTATAGTAGTACAAATAAGAACGTGTTTCAACGAGTAACAATGCGACATAGAAGAAACTAGACTGAAATAAAGATGGAGGAGTTCAAAGAAGACATTTGGAAGAGTAAAAATAAGAGACGATAAAGAAGAAATAGAGCGAAAAAGGAGAGGATAAAAACGTATTTGAGGGAGTAAAAAGTGGAAGAGAGGAAACGCAAAGAAAGAAAGAAAGAAAGAAAGAAAGAAAGAAAGAAAGAGAACAAGAACGTAAATGGAAGAGTAATAGAGAAGAGAAAAAAGAAAATAAAAGCAGTCGTAGAATGAAAAAAAAATAGTATATGTAGGAGTAAAATTCTGAAGTAGAAGAAAGAGACAACTAAATAAAAGTGTAGTCGAAAGAGGTTGAAGAAGAAGTAGCAGAACATATTTGGAGGAATGAAAAATCCAAATGATGGGAAAGATGAGATTAAAGAAAAAAAAAAGAGAAAACAGGAATTTATAATATATTTTTTTAAATAGAGAAATATCGTTGAAAGTGTATAACTACAGAATATGACTAAAAGTGAAGAAGAAATATATTTAAAATGAGAAGTAAAACAAGAAAATTGACAAAAAAGAGGACAACACACACACACACACACACACATATATATATATATATATATATATATATATATATATATATATATATATATAAAAGAAATGAAAAGTAACACGACAAGAAAACCGGAAAGAGAAATACGACCAAAACATTTCAAGAACGATAAAAATAACAAGGAGACATGTCTGCTGACTGAAGACGAAAACAGTATTGGCAGCTTGGCGACTGCTTCAATCAGTTTTTCTTTTATTGAGAAATCGGAAGTGTCATTGAATCGATCCGTTCGATCGATCGACTGTCTAGAAGCAGGTCAGGAAGCAGACATATCTACGGGAGAATTAGTCAGCAGAGCGGAAATCGAAGATTAGGATCATTGATCTTTGCCATCAAGTATTTCTACGTCAAGGCTTTCAGTGAGGACTCTCAGTCATACATAATTTCAAGAGCATGAAAACGTCACTGCAACGTGTAAATGTGGACCTGGTGGTGAACATTTTTTTTTTATTCCATACCAAGTGTCAAAATTTCATTCTGGATAACAGAAACATCATCACGAACACTTTAATCGAATAGTCAATCACCAAAAAATATTTATAAATAAATCTGTAAATTTAATAACGTTATGACGACTAAAAATAAGTTACTGTCAAAAGTTAATTGTTTTATTTACAGATGACATAAACTCATATTAATGTTATAGTAATATTAGCCAATTACCAACAAGAAAACATTAGGTATTCATTGCAGCCAAGACAGCTTTCGGTTGAAATTTATAAAATCATTCTCTTAAAACAATTATTTTAGGAAAGCATGTTTCTCAAGTCCCGTAACTATTATACCTTTTTCCAGATGTTTCCTTCCTCACCTTCTGTTTGTTTTTTCTTCTAATTACATGTGCTATTCATTTTAGTTATTGCTGATGCTGAGAGTCTTCAAGTGATGTCGTTTCTCTGATTTGGTACATTTCTTTGTTTTGGATTCTGTAGCGCCAGTACACAATATTCGAATTAGGATTATCTTTAGTCAAGGCATTAAGGATTTTATCGCTCCAAGTTACTTTTCACCATTGATCTTAGGAAAATAAAAAAATGCGTCATGCAAGTTTTCCACTTTTTCATGAATTTTCCTAATATATATATATATATATATATATATATATATATATATATATATATATATATATATATATATATATATATCCAACCAATAAACTTTGTTCATTGTTTTTTTTTTAAATTATATAATTTACTTTATTCACCTCGATTTAGCTCTGTTGAACGAGGTACAAACCGGTTAGCTAGCCCGTTTTTCATTTTTTTATTAACATAAGTGGTAATAATAAAACTAATTGTTGTCTTTTTTCATGGCAGTGATACAATTTTGTACCAAATATATCTTTTTAACATATATATTTTATAATATATATATATATATATATATATATATATATATATATATATATATATATATATATATATAAAACCAACGAAAATTGAGTCGCACATCAAATGTATGTATAGGTGTATTTATCAACATATACTTTTAGCTCTAATGACATTGAGCATTATTATGTCTACAACTCTTTGCTAAGTTTGGTAATTATTTATTTGCTTACCAGTGTATGCACGCTAGCACACGCATATACGGTCGCTATTATTTAGTTTTCTCGTTTACCTAACATTATACCTATATATCTTTAGAGAGAGAAAGAGAGATAGGATAAAAGAGAGACCGAGAGAAAAACATGAAAACATGTACAAAATATACATCAATATATATATATATATATATATATATATATATATATATATATATACAGCGGGGGGGGGAAATATTCGTACACATGAAAAATTGTATTATTATAAATGTAAAAGTCTTAAATTTAACAAATCTCGGCACATGTTATTATATTTAATTTGTAATATTAAGGACAATGAAGAACTAGGTTTAGTCGAGTAAAAATGGAAGAGTGACATCGGTAATTAAAATGACCCCGTAAGATCTTAGACGATTAATGCCATGAGAATTTGTTCATAAATATTACTGACAATTTTTTTTTTAATATTGTTTGGTAAATATAAAGTTTGAAAGTGAATAATATTTAAAAGTTTCAGAGAAGAATAATAAAGATGTTTATCATGATTATGGATTAATATTTCTATTAATATTTTACGATCAATCCTCATAGATTTTGTTTGCTTCTGTGTATTATGCAATAAAGAGTAATGATGGTGACCATTTATCCAAAAGAAGCGGCAACGGTAAAAATCAGGAAACCATGAAATAATAATAATAATAAGAAGAAGAAGAAGAAGAAGAAACACGTAGATCTAATTCGTGATGGTCCCAAAATATGTGAAAGGCTAAATATCATACTGATGTGTACTACTCTCATCTTGCGTAGATTCCTCTGCATGCAATCACCACAGTTTCCTTCTTATGATTGCATGGCAACACATCTGCTTGCACTTGATGATTGAAAACGCTAGTGTCTCTTGAAGACAGAGTTCAAAATGATAGATACAAAAATCGTCTCTCCGTCCAGACCGACCATATTATAATTTGAAGCACAAAGACCCGACCTTATTATAATAGATAACTATAGCAAATTACTGATTTTGCTATTCCATACGATAAAAATAAACTGAAAATACCTGGATATGATATAGGAGTTAAAAGAAGCTATGGAATAATACTGCTGAAGTAATCTCTATAGTAATAAGAGCTATTGGGATACAACCGAGAAAATGGAAAGAGCATTTAGGAAAATTAGAATTGAGACAAAAATTATAGATCTTCAGAAAACTGTGATCAATTATATCAACTAGTTCTTGAATTTTAAGGAGTCTTGCTGACACAGTGCCTCAAGAACAGAATTTCCATTGATTACGTCAATGTGCGACACAAATATAATAATATTAATAATTATAACAGAATTTACTCTCCACAATGTCCCTTAAATGGCAATTGATTGCAGAAAAATGTAATATACCAAGTCACTGTAAAATCAGCAGATAACGAAGAAAAACTATATATAGGATTAAGTGAAGGACATGAGAAAAAAAAAAGACTACTGATGTAAAACTTCCTTTACAAATAATAAATACGCTAAAGATAAAATACTTTCTAAATATATCTTGGAGATTAAAAAACAAAAACAAAATCACAACAAAAATATCATGGAAAATAAAGAAAACAGCATCAGCCTAAAACAATAAATCTAAGACATGAAAACACTGTCTGGAGGAAGCTGGGAATTGCCTTCCCAGATCAACACAAGCTGCTGAATAAAACGATCAAAAATCATCTCAAAATGAAGACAGGAAAACAAATTTTTACTACGTTGAATAAACCAGAAAACTAAAAACTAACTATAAAAAAAAATTAAATAAACAAAAATAAGAAAAATAAATGAAGTAAATAAAAAACAAATTAACAAACCTCGAATTGACCCGGAAACAAAAAAGAACCGACAATAAAATTTAAAAGACACTATAAATAGACCCAAAACGGCCCCAGGACACACAATTAATTTCACTCAGTAGCCCGAGATTAATTCGAGACACAAGCTTTATCGCCAACCAAAATTACCATTAGAACAATACAACAGACTACCCACAATGCACCAATAACCTATAAATATATATATGTCTATATTTCTGAGATGAGATACTATGTACATTGTTTACATTATTCGGACTATTGTCCAAATCTTTGTCGCCATATTTATCACAACGTTTCGGCCGTTGTACGCTCCGGCTTTCTTCAGGTGGTTGGAATTTCGAACAGAAAACTTTATTCCGCTCACACACTTTGGGTCCTGTCACTGGATCTAACCAACGCCTTTATCCACTGTGCCATGTGTCCTGTGAGTTCAATACTCGGTTAAGACAGTGGAGAACTTTCACAGGAAAAATTAGCAGGAGATAACTGATATCCATCAAACATGGCACGTGGAACTAGAACAGTCTAACCCAGTGAGCGAAATAAAGGGTTCAGTTCTAAATTTTTGTGATAAATATGGCGACAAAGATGAGGACAATAGTCCGAATAATGTAAATAATCTCTCTCTCTCTCTCTCTCTCTATATATATATATATATATATATATATATATATATATATATATATATATATATATATATATAACTAGTCGAGAAAAATAAAAAAATACAGCACATATGACTTAACGATTGCGTTCAATCATCAAACACACCTTTGCCTCTGGGTGTTGACAACAATGTTCACAAACAAACACATACACACACAGGAATACACACGCATACATACATATGTTGTGTGTATGTGTTTGTGTGTGTGAGTGTTTGTGTCCGTGTGTGCGTTATATTGTGTTAGTAAGATATAAACTGAACCACAACAGAATTAGTTTATACAATAAGTGGAAACCTTATTCAAAACTCCATCTGTGAAGACTCTTTAATAATTGACCGTCATTTCTGATGATGGGTGTAGACTCGTGCCATATAAATAATTGAAGCAGATTCCTTCAAAAGATCTACAAAATAAACGCGTTGAGGTACAAACTGCGAAGCACAAAATATGTCAAACACTTGTCATAAACAGAAATAAGAACCTAAAATTCTTCGGGACGGACTCATTTAAATATCTCGGCGAATCTTGTCCAGAGGACGAGTGTAGCCATCGTAAATAAAGACAAAGATTTCTAAAATGTAGCATTTCGCGCTTCAACTAGATGAGAAATTAGCATTGAAAGAAGAAACTCCGGATAAATACCAGAAACTTATGAACTAAGATGTAAGACAATAAAGGAATGTTAGAAAGCTTGTCCACAAGGACACATGGC